ACAACACAGCCCAGCGCAGCCCAGCCTGCCTGGATATTAACACAACACAGCCCAGCCCAGCATTGATATTAACACAATACAACACAGCACAGACCAGCGCAGCCCAACACAGCCCAGCCCAGCACAGCCTGGATATTAACACAGCGCAGCAAATTTTGGATCTTATCGCATATCTGAATATGAACATGGCTATACAGTAAAGCGCAGCCCAGCACACAGTTCTTTGTACGATACAGCACAGTCTGCTTTACAGTGCTACTGGCTAGTCCAGGCACGGATGTATAATTATCAGATGCTAATATTTTAATCGTTAAAGATTGAAAGCAGAGCCTGTGTAGGCGAGCCCACTCCAAGAACATGCTGCCGGGACAAGCGCGCTGTCTAGGAGCTGACATTCCAGGTGGACAGGTGTGCGGCCAGGTGTTTCCCTGCTTTCTCACGGTCCTCTGTCGTCTTCCCTCCAGAGGCCGAGGAGGAGATCATCGCCGAGGACTACGACGACAACAACGTGGATTACGAGGCCACCCGCGTGGAGAACCTGCCGCCCAGCTGGTACAAGGTGTTCGACCCTGCCTGGTGAGGAGTCCGCCCCTCGTCACCAGTTCACCGCCCTCGCCCAGCCCAGCTGCGGATTGGGCTGGCTAGACGTAAAAACACAACATCCCTTCTGATGGAGAAACCTCTTCTCCGTCACCTTCTCTCTTCCGGACCCCCCGCAGCGGGGATACGCGATCCCAGTCCTCGAGGATCTGGGCTTCTGTGGGATTTAGAGGCTCTGTTAATCGGCTAACTGAAGGAAAACAAAACAGGCCAAATACTTAGTTCAGTCAGTAAAGCAAGGACGTTCAGGCCTGGGGTGAAAACCGGAGGGAGTGGAATTGCCTGCCCCAGCCAGCAGTCTCCATCTCTTACTGCCTCTCGGTCCTTCCCAGAGTCCTCTGCTTCCCTCTCCTCCGCCGCTGTCGGGCCTTCAGCCTGGGGTTCGGGGGTGGGGTCCTGGGTTCAAATCCCAGGCTGCTGTGCCCTTGAGCAAGGCTCTTCACCCACACTGCTCTGGTGAAAGACTCATGGGTACACATGTGGGCCACCTTGGATGAGAGTGTCAGCCCAAGCAGTAGTAATTATCTCTTGAAACGCTTTTTCTGCCGCCCCGCAGCGGTCTGCCGTATTACTGGAATGTGGAAACTGACCTGGTGTCCTGGCTGTCCCCCAACGACCCCAATGCCGTCATCTCCAAAGCGGCCAAGAAGCTCAAAGGTACCGCCGCAGAGCTGCAGTCAGACAGCAAGTCGCAGGCCTGCTCTCCCATCGCACACGCGCCGGGGGAGGGGGTTGGGTTTGCTGTCGTGCTTTACTCTGAAGATGCTTCTCCGTCACAAGTCCTTGAGGATGCACTTCGTCTAGGGAGTCTGTCGCTTGGGTTATAATACACATGAGTTCACGCACAGTAAACTCATCCCGCCTTGTACAGTACACGTTCCTCTCTGTAGCAGCCAGTGTGGCTTCTTTTCCTCGCTAGTGTCCACTAACCAGCAGAGCTGTGAAAGGAATCGATCGGGTGCTGGCCTGGAGCGCCAGTGGGTCGCCCCCTGCTGGAGGGCGAGGCTGTGGAGAGCCAGCAGTCTCTCATGTCCCCAGGGGCGGGGCTTGGGCTGGAGGGCGGGGCTGTGGAGAGCCAGCAGTCTCTCATGGCTCCAGGGGCGGGGCTTGGGCTGGAGGGCGGGGCTGTGGAGAGACAGCTGTCTCTCATGGTCCCAGGGGCAGGGCTTGGGCTGGAGGGTGGGGCTGTGGAGAGCCAGGTGTCACTCATGGCCCCAGGGGTGGGGCTTGGGCTGGAGGGCGGGGCTGTGGAGAGCCAGGTGTCACTCATGGCCCCAGGGGCGGGGCTTGGGCTGGAGGGCGGGGCTGTGGAGAGCCAGGTGTCACTCATGGCCCTAGGGGCGGGGCCTGGGCTGGAGGGTGGGGCTGTGGAGAGCCAGGTGTCACTCATGGCCCCAGGGGCGGGGCTTGGGTTGGAGTGCGGGGCTGTGGAGAGCCAGGTGTCACTCATGGCCCTAGGGGCAGGGCCTGGGCTGGAGGGTGGGGCTGTGGAGAGCCAGGTGCCTCTCGCTATGTCTCCAAATCCTGTTCTGTTGTTCCCTGCAGAGGTCGAGGAGAGGGTGGAATGGGAGGAGGTTAGAGAGAAGAGGCAGCACCGCAGGGAGGACATCGCCCCCTACAGCAAGTTGAAGAGAGGTACGGACACACAGGCAGTGGGGAGAGTGTGGAGTGTGGAGAGTAACAGTCCAGAGCTGCACCTGTTGAGTGGGAGTGGGGAGCTCTCCCACCTCCCACTGTATCTGAGAGGATGTTTCTCCTGTGTCTGCAGGGAGAGAGCGGAAGGACGAGGAGATGGACCCCATGGACCCCAGTGCTTACTCAGATGCCCCCAGGTGAGTGACCCCGCCTCCCTCCTCCCCCTGCACCTCCCTCACTGCCCGTTC